GCCGGTGCAACTTGATTAGTTCCGGATATGGAGATGATCCCATCCACTGGCGTGGCGAATAAAACGGATCCTTAAAGTCTACACTTCGTAGCAAATAAAATGAAATCAATAATGAACTGTGGTTCTGATTCTTCTTCGGCACACTCAGATGATGGACGTAAACTTCAGGCTAATATCTGTTAAAAACTCCAACATTTTCAGATTCCTGAAATTAAGCATCCTAGCGAGCTTTCTCATAGAAGGCCTATAATCAACCAGGAATATTATGGCGGATTATTTATCAGGATTTTTTGCAAGTACCGTTACAGTATTAGTCAAAATATCATCTTTAATTCTTTTGGACTATAGAGAACTATTGCAAATGTTAATACGTAATTAACAACTCCCCATAGTCTGATAACCTAATAGCCGAGCACCTTTCAGCACATCATTTTGTTAATGATGACTGCTGACACTGATATTCTTAATCGAGTGTTTAATAGTTCACCTATTTAGTGGTATGAAACAAAACAACAAAAGCAACTGCCTCCATTACCTGGAAAACAAAAAAGATGGGATTCTCTAGTCCTATGGTCAAGTGAATGGAGGTTGTTAAAGGCTCAGAAAATCAGCTCATGTAGGCGGCAATAAGGGTCATTTACATTGGTTTACACAAAAAAGACAAGAAAATGTTCCTATAAGTGGTCCAGTTCCTCAGCAAAAAACAAGTGAAATGGGAAGTAGAATAGGAACAAGAGGTTTCGAGTCTTCCAGAAGTTGTATTGAACGTTTTAAGAAAAATTTTATCTTTGTAGGAAAACTGTTGGTGAATCTGCATCAATTAATTTAAATGGTGTTAATAACTGACTCACAACGGTTTGGCCTGGTCTTTGCAAAAAATGGTGACAGTGGTAATAATTTTAACGCCGATGAGACCGGCCTTTAAAACGTAATTAACAACTCCCTAAAGTCTGATAACCTAATAGCCGAGCACCTTTCAGCACATCATTTTGCTAATGATGACTGACTGACACTTACATTCTTAATCGAGTGTTTAATAGTTCACCTATTTAGTAATCGTTGATTGTAATTGTGTTTTTGTTATTGGAATAAATATTGGACTATTATTATCTTTGGAAATATTATAACATAGATCTTCTTTGAATCTTAAGGTTATGTTGATTATTTCTTAATTTTCAATTTTATTGATAAACTGTGGGATTGGTACTGTTCCTGAATAAATAAATACTCTTTATTATTATAATATTGTTATCAGTAAACACGTAGATTCCAGTCTCAAGCAACCCATCAACATTTCTAATAGAGCAATGAGGCCAATATTTCCGAATTTCTTGAAAATATTATTCCGCCAACCACTGCCAGAAATTCTCAAGATCATTTTTTGACAAAAAGTAAAATATTTTTCCGTCTTTGGAGGAACCATAAAACAACAACCCTCTACGATAAAAAGAAACTTCTTGCTTACATGTTAAATGATAGCTTGTTATTCCATTTAATTTATTTATTCTTATTATTGTTTATTACTTTAATTACAGTTTAATACATATCTCCAAAAAGAACAAATAAGGAAGCTTAAACAAAATTTATTTTGGACGTCGATCCTGTTCCATTTTTTATGTATTATCTTGGGTATTGATAACCATAGGAATAATTGTAAATTACCGATATTTTTTTTACAAAAAATAAAATACTCTCCCTTGTTTGAAGGAACTATAACTGTAACCGAACAACACTCCAGAAAAAAGAAACGATTTATCATGTTATATTTGTTATTATTATTAATATTATTATTTATTATGTTTATTACATATATATATATATATATATATATATATATATATATATATATATATATATATATATATATATATATATATATATATATATATATATATATATATATATATATATATATATATATATATTACAGTTTAATACTCCAAAAAAAAAAACAAACATAAGAGGAAATTTAAACCATATTTGTTTTGGACTTGGATCGTTTTCCCGTATTTTTTTTATGTAATTAGTTAGTTATATTTTTTATTTATTTTTCTAGTTTTTGGTTGATTTATTATCCTGTTTCATCCAGCGTGTAGTGACAAGACACTTTGAAACCTTAACAATGTTCTATTTCAAAACTTGTCCAAAGTTGCTTAGATCGTTTTTCCCGTGTAGTCTTCGCAGTGTTTCAATTTGTGTTAAGTCAGGAGACATCATTCCTAAATCACCTATCGACTCCGTAATCTAATTTATAACAGCTAATTAAAGCACCGATTTAAACGACACCCGCGCCTTGTAGTTTTCCATGTAATAGTCGATGGTCACAAGTAGCACGCCATTCGGCGCCCAATTAGAGCTCTGTTTGCGCAAAGGGTCGCGTCTCCAGATAACAAGGATCGTTTTAAACCCGACTTCGCAGGCAAATATTTAAAGAAATTCTTATTGCCTTGGGCGCCCCCAGGCATATCCGCCTTTTAGGGCGAATCCTCCCGCCCTGTCAATCTGGTGATTTACGACACCGAAGCAACATTTATTTTTGTGTGTCTGCGTTCGCCGTTTTACAGTAACTATCTTGTTAATGACTCCAGAAGCTCGGGTAAAAAACTGATTGGGGATTTGACGACGAGTCCGCCTAATTGGGTTTTAGGGTCTTTCGGGTCGGGGGATTGTTTCCTTCTCATTTGACTGGGAGGGAACCTTTGACAACGGGGCGAGCGCTGATCGAAAATAGGTCAAATACATTTGTTGTTTCTAAGAAGTATATTTTCTTTATTTTCGAATTTTTGTGTTGGCTTCTTCAGAACTTAACTGAGACGGGTTTGCATACTGATTTGTAGTTTGTACTTTGTACTTGCTTACTCCACATTTGTGGTCCTTCCTCGCATTCAAAATATTACTGAGATGTATTACAAGTTCTTAATGTTAAAACCAGATTTACCACTTGTCCCTCAACATCTCTGCTTCAGATACTAGAACTTTACAGCATTGCAAGCTTATCCGGCTAAGAATACATTGCAGAGGCAGGACGAAAAATAAAAAAATAAAATAAGAAATTTCGAAACATCCAAACAATCTTAACGACCACTCAGTCTATGGGCAGGTACAGTTTCAGTCAAGCTCTGAAAAAGTCAACAGGACGCTGCAGGAATCCAGAAGTTTTGTAACTAGTAAACTAACCAAAATATCACTTGTTTACTCTACACTTTTCTGCAATGGTCTAAAATCTAAATCCCAGGGTGACGTATATACGAACTGTTTTTTTTTTAACTAGTTTTCTCCGTCTCACTGGCTTTGGAATTAAACTTCACCTTTGCTGTGTCAAAAATTGATTAATTGTTTATATTGTTCCCTTAAGGATGGGTGATGCCTGAGGCTTCTTCGGCGAAGGAAGTCACCATAATGCCAATTCTAAAGTTTTTAAGTTATCCTTAAGCCTGAGTAAATGAATACGGCCCTGTATTTTACGCAAATCGGCTAAAATTTATTTATTACCATTCTGTGGTCTGAACGTACATCACAATTTTTTGCCGATCCCGCGATATCAAATCGTCTAAATTAAGTTTGAAACGACAACGGCCGAAATTAAATTAACAGCGGGAATTACGAAAGTTTTTAATTCGATGCGAGATAATCGGGTTAATTTTGATGGCGAAGTTGTTTGGACCTGTTTAACTTTGTAAATTGCCATAACAAGCTCAACTTGGTGCTGTCTGGCAGTATTTTATTCACTTGTGCTTACGACGAACGAGCTGAAATTTTTTTAAATTGGATACGTAACGAAAACCGAGCGGCTTTACTTTAATTCTCCACTATTTGATCGAAAATTGAATTTTATATTCATCATTGTTGATCGATAAGTTTGATGCCAGAATTCTATTAACAATTCAACAATTAATTTTGATTGTTCTTTGATTTGCGTGCCTTTAAATTCCCAATTTATTTATCAGTTTGATAAGATATATGATAAGATATAACTTAAAACTAAATTGCTCAGGTTTTTATACCAATGATGGTGAATAAAAATTAACTACGGCTAATAAAACATATAAAAAGGCGAAGTTTTTGTAATCAACACTACGACTAGGGGCTACAAGAAATTAGTTTCTATAAGTAGGCTTAGCGTTTAGTGACTTTTTACGACTTTATACGTTTGGTATATAATATCGTAGCTGGCTTTGTTCCCCTTTTTATAAAAGTCATATAGAGAAGCTAGAAAATGTTAGCAAAAGTGTGGTGTGATTTGTTGTACTTACTACCTTGCGTTTCGTTTCCACCCTATTGTCGGGTGATATCCACTGTAGTTGTGTCCTTCTAAATTTGTATTTTAGAAATAATCATAAGAAGTTTTCATTTGTTTCAATTTTTTGAAAGCTACCTTCTTCTTACTTCCCGGATTGCTTCGATCGTGTAAGTCGCCTTTGAATTGGTTTCCATAGTAACGCAATAAATAAACTTTGATATTTTGATATGTTGCATAAATTTCAACAAGACAATTATTTAGTTTTGAGTTCGACTCTTATGGGCATATTTATCTGAAAAATCAAGTAAGCTATCAGCAGCGTTCATAAAGAAAAGAAAAGCAAAAGAAAGGAAGACTATTAGGTCAAATTGTATATTGAGAAACTCTTAGTAAAAGTGCCAGATGCTTTTAATTATCGCTCCAAACATAAAACAAATAATCCGGGGTTATTCATAATCGATGTGATTCATTGATTTTCAATTAATATCGTTTTGTACATACTCGAAGCTAATATCCTCAAAGAATAAATATTATGATGGTAATTTTCGGAAATCATATTATTGGGTCGTTTTTTATGGACACAATTAGTGACAAAAATCTGGCATCGACAAATAAATTTGAAATATCTTGCCTCCAATTTCAGCAGTTGTTTTGTAAACTATTATTAAAATTAATCTCAACCACAGTTCCTCTAGTTATTTGGTTCCATTGGTTCGATTATAAATTGTATCAAAATTTTACAGCTTTAATGTTGTTCCAGAACGACACCATGCGCTTGGTCTGGGCCTTCCACCAAGACGAGCCGGTAGGGGGCGCCGTGGGTCCAAAATCCCTACCACGCCACGATACCACTTCCAGAGGTGCTCAGTCGCTGTATCTGGTTCAAAGGGCCGATCAAGAGGCTCCTAGTCCAGAGGAAACGGTCAAAATATGGGAGCTGCGTAACCCAGCGGTGGAGGTGCCTCTGATTCCAGGCGAGAGCCTCCACTGGTGCCGGGTGTTTCGGATCCCGCAGTCCATCAACAGGAAACATCACTTGATACGGGTGAGTTGGCTTAATTGCCGTCTTAGACGTCTAGACGCGATTCAAATTAGCATAAGTAAAAACGTAAAAGAAACACGAATTATTAAATAAGCCTCCCTTGTTTCTCATTCATCACGATTAAGGCGTCTCATTTCTCAAAATATACAAACATGGGCGAATGGAGTTCAACGGAATTTAATAAAAATTTAGTATATCGGTATTTTAATGTTTCTGAGATATTGGCTTTCAAAGTATGGATACTTCCGTGAGAGAAAAATTCCATAAGCCGGTGGAGTTTTTTAATTTGTATACGGGGCGCACTCAAAAAGATTTAAAAAATTTTTACTGAATATAGAATGACTTCGTGGACAGGGATATCGGGTTTAAACATTTTTAATTGTTTTGCGTTCAAATTGTGATCGGATAATTTTATAATGTATACCCCCTGACAATGTGCAGTTGGTAGTTATTGTAAAAATTATTTGGCAAAAAAAGCGAGCCATGCAGTTGAAGAATATGAAGGAACCAATAATAAAAGTTAAGTTAAGTAGAAGAAAAACGAATCATGTCCAAGATATATCTTGAACAAGCGTTAAGGATATGGAAGCAAAAATGCAGAAATATGGGCATTCCCCTTAACAATGCAAACATACACACCCTAAGCTTCGCAGATGACCAAGTCATAATGGCGCAAGACTACGATGATGAACTGATCGAAGAATACAATAAATGGGGGTTGAAAGTAAACTTACCAAAGACAAAGTATATGTGTATCGGTGGAGCATAACGCGACCTCCTCTTAGAGGATGGTCAGGCTATCAAAAGCTGCGAAACCTACAAATACCTGGGAATGTACATATCCAGCGGTGGGACGTTAGACTACGCCATCAAAGAACGAAATAATCAATGAAGCAAGGCCATTAATATGCTGAACACCTTCTTGTGGGACCAAAAAATCACGAGACCAAACAATCACCTAATATACAATAGGATCATTAAAAGCATAGTCACATACAGCAATGAAGTCTGGCCACTAAAAGAAAGAACCATGAGAATTCTGGAGGCAACAGAGATGGACTTTTGGAGAAGAGCGGCAGGAAGGTCCCAAACGAAGCAATTCGCACAACCAAGAAGGTGGGCCACACGATTTCAGACGAAATAAGAACAAAACAGTTAAAGTGGTACGGTCACGTCCAAAGAATGGAAGAACAGCGACTGCCTAAACAAATACTCACCTGGACACCTACAGGAAGAAGGAAGAGGGGAAGACCGAGAAAGAGCTGGAGAGAGGGCATCGATAGTGAAATACAATGGAGACGACTGGACGAGGACTTATGGAAGGACAGAAATCGATGGAGGTTGGGAATCGGACGACGTCCGAGGATGTTTTAAAAACCGATAGATATATAAGTAGGGGAGGCTTTATCTGAAGAAACGGGGTAGACGGTGAACTTTGGGTTAAATGCCTAGTAAAGGCTATATTTTTGCAATAAGGAAGAACACCCAGGTGAAATAAGATTCAGAATAAGTTATACTAGGGCTGCATTTACAAATATGCTTTGCGGATTGGAACATTAAACTTAAGATAAGACTGACCAGATGTTACCTCAATGCTTTTTTACGGAACGGACTCATGAACAACGAACAAAGTTGACTTAAAAAGCTTTCGACTGTGGGGATAGAGAGATATACTTAGATATTCTTGGACAGAAATAGTAACAAAAGAGCGAAAGGAAAAATAGAGATAAACGAAACTGCAAGAGATATAGAGGAGAAAGAAATAAAGAAGGACTCTATTTTCTCCTGTGTTTCGTGCGAGACTTCTTCAGGAGCGAGGATGCTGAATAAACGAGTGGGAAATTAAGTAATTGAAGTCGAATTTAAGTTGCGCCAAGGTTTAAGACGATTACTCACAACATATTACGAATAATTTATAGGCTCGGAATTTGAACGTGACAGGCCCGGCGTATCCGTTATGGAAATCGGAACGGGGAGATAAAGTTATATCCAGGATATTTGTCGTATATCCGAATTGACGCGACATAATAACAGATATCCAACTCCGAGTGTACAATATCAATTCGCAACAGCCCGATAATAGATTATATATATATATGTATATATACCTAAAGTGTCCTTTGCAGGGTAAACGTTTATTCGCAGCGTATCGATCGGGTGGCGGCCGTTTGAGTATTAAGTTTCTCTCCGGCTTCGCTCCGTTTCAATCGTCTTAAAACGGGGATATACGACTATCGTTAATCGAAAAGGCGACATTTTTGCAAATATATATATTTTTTTTCGCTCAAACAAAGGCGGGAGTCGTTTTTAGTTTCAGCATCGTTGTTTACGTTTCCGATTGTTTATTTTGTTTACGTCCCAATTAGGGACCTAACAATATTTTCGGAACGGCCATTGTTTATTTATCAGCTAATTGTGCGCCTGCGAAACAAGCTGAAATTTTGGGCGGCGGTACATTATGATGTTTGTTATTTAATGACCGTTCGATTTTTCGGAACCGAATTGATATGGCAAACGGACCGAACAGTCAGAAGTGGGATAGCAAGAACCGTTTTCCCATCGCTTTTAGCTCAAGTCGATCTCTTTCACGGTTTATTAGTTATCACATTACATTTATTAAATTTAAAGAAATAAAAAAGTTTGCTTTCGTGTTTGGTGGTTCTAAAGTTTAATTAAAAATAACACCGCCCAAATAAATATGCTTATTAGTTTTGTTATCAAACAACTCACAAAATAAAATGATTCAAAAGTGTAAGCTTGGGCTTTTTCTTTTTTTGCTCATAAGGACTTTCTCTCAATAAGCCCCAACTATAATCTCTCATCATGTTTTCATTGTATTGACCTGACGACAACGTTGACCTCCTCCCTCTTCTGAATACGCGTCGATATAGCTTTTAAATTTATCTAGATGCGCATGTAGCCCATAACTTTTCATAGTTTTGAGCTTTGTTTTGCGGACCATCAAAACCTCCAGCTTTAAACTTTGCTTCTGATAACTTCGGGGAAAAACTTTTTGAAATACTCAAAAGCTTCTGCAGTTTCATCCCATTTATTAACAATATTAACAAATTGTCTCGTCCACCCTAACTTCATGCGCAGGGGCAGCAGTTCCGTTATTAGATGCCATGACCGTTAGATATAATGCAGTCATACTCTGGATATTTTACTTTATTTTGCTAGCGAAACATTTACTTTGTAGTGTAGTACTACTCTGCAAATCACATTAGAATCCTCCCACCTTCACAGTCGCCTCAGAACGAACAGTTCAGCTTTCAACTCACCAATATGCTTCCACCAATTTAATCTGTATCTCACAGTAAAAATAACATTCGAAAATTGACATTTTTGAAATTTAAAGTGCTTATATATGCATCCATGTTCAGAAACATTATTTTTCTGTTTCTGCTAATATTTTTCTCATTCCCTTCTATTTTCTGAAGATATCCACAGCAAGTGGAGTCAGTTATATCCAGTTCCTTAATTCTATTATTAAAGAGTCTTTTCATTAAAATTACCCCCGTTTAGAGGCTCGTATGCCATCAGCGATGATATAGGGGTAGCTACAACGTAAACTTCTTCAAATTCACTTCTAAAAATGCTAACGTCTACAATTTTTGACATTGATAAAAAGGAGGCAAGCCACTATTAAATTGAACTCGCAGCGATTGCCGAAAACTTCAGGGATTATGCTGGGAAATGTCCTCTATCAAGGATTCAGCAGTCGGAAGTTTTATAAGACCACTTTGCGATAGATTTCCTATATATGTAGAAGGGGAACCACCCTTATGGGAAAAGTTGGGATGCATCGCGTTAACGAAATTAGTCTAGTTAATTATGAAAGTTTCGTGGAAGTTTAATTAAATGAATCTATTAGAGTCAACACCTTAAACATCGCCATAAAATTCCGGTTGCCGCTCCGGCAGCGCAAAGTTTCTAACAATGAAACTTCGGCTAAATAGACTTCGGGAAAAGTACGCATTAACGCAAACGAGAGACAAAACTCCAATAAGTGTACCTTCAATGTAATTGTCGATCGTCCGGAAAAACGATTGCTTTTATATGTTTCTGAAAAAATGGGAAATATAAAAGTAGTCTTCAGTGACGTCATAATACTGTGAATGTGGACAATTTCGAGGAAAAAATGTTGCTTCTTTCAAAAATAGCAAAAATTTAGAGTTTTTTTTCGTTTTCTGTATTGCAAATTGACTGACTAATTTACTGGCATGTGACGTCATAATTCCTAAAATTGTAAAACCTCGAAATAGCATTGGAAGTTTTGGTTTAAATGAAGACAATAAATGAACTTATCAAGGCATTATAGTACTGCTTCTGCAGATACCTTTATTGTTATCGATTTGTAATGAAAATGGATGCCAATTAAAAACTGAGAATTGGATATCCTGGAGATATTGATTTGTTGGTTGCTGGTTAGCATTAAGTTGTTACGTCATGAGTCCCAATTTAAGGGTATCGCCTTTCATCATTATTATTATACAGTTTATGATCCAGCTTGAATTTTTGAGGATAGCGAAAGAGTTCAAAAGATTGACAATGCACATAATGTGAAATACAGGCTGACGACGACAGATGCCGTAGATAAATCTTAAACAAGATTTTATGCAATCAAAAAAGACTAAAGTTAGAATCTGCACCTTTCAAATCTGACTGTTTTAATATTTATCAGAAAGAAACTTCCTTGTCTTAATAATAACCACAGCTTCCTTTTACCAAACTTTTACGGATAACGAAACCCTCAAGGGAGATGTCACTGACAACCTTTAGATAAGGTCTGAGATATAGGTGAAATAGAGAGATCAGTGTGACAGTTTAGATAGTGACAGAAGTCACTGGTGTAAAGCGAGAACAGTAATGGTTCCAAAACACTAATCCGGGGGGGAACTCATGTCAGAAATTGCATAAAAAGGATACTGCTAGAAATATTACGATCAAGATTGTCAAATGATCTGGATCTGGAGTGGATAACTAGATTTGCCGTCATACTT